ATGCCAGAATCGGCGAATGCCTCACCCGGACTCGGCCTCTACCTCTCCCAGTTGCTGACTGACTCGGTGTCCGCAGGTTAAATGAAGCTGCAGTTAATTGTCATCAAGATAAAGAATCTTATTTAAGTTAAAATAATTCTGTTCTTGGACCCAGGATTTTCGAAATCATCGTTCCAGGTCAGACTTCTCCAGTCTTAATTCAACTGTTCTCTGTTTTAGTCTGGTGTTTGTCGTGGTAACGGCTTTTGCTGCATTTGCGACAGCTTGCGATTTAAATTGGAGTTCGGCGGAACAGAAGTTAAGTAAGTGTGTGGCGAGGCGCCGTATACATGTATACTTTAGAGCCCCTGACTTTCTCTTGTGTTCACACGCATTTTGCTGACAATAGGGATATGCTAATTACGTCTTGAGCGCTTTCATGTGTCGTAGAAATATTGTGACAGACGTCGCAAGTCTTAAGTTTATTTATTGCATTGTGAAAATTCTTTCAGCCATTCTATGGCTGTTACGTGCGCACAGATGGATGAAACTGAAGGCGCGTTCTTGCAGCTTTTAATTGTGAATGGATCTAAAATTATTAAAAAACCGAAACAAGGATCTCTTAACACAAATGTGCGCTGTTAATTTCTGCTCACCGGCTTGCGAAATAATCTGCTTATCAAATTGCTCTGATTACTCGTTCCTAAGGTACTTGGAGGAAGTTAGTGCAAGCGTTCTCTCTGCGCAAGAACGCTGTGGCATTATTCAGCCTCTCGAGATCGACAGATGACATTGAAAGCGTACATGGAGTCAGAGCAATCAACGCTCTGTTGTTGCTTGTGGCCCACAAATGCATGGCTTTTTTTTTCAATCCGTACACGAACAGGACTGTCATGACCGAGGTACGCTTTATTTACGTTTCTGATTTTTCTCCTAAAATTTAAAATATGTGGTAAACCTATTTGAAACCTTCAGATGTTTGTATTATCAGAGAATATGATGTAGTCCGATTCGCTGCTCTAAAATGGAAACATCACAAATTAATATTTTTAATATTATACGATATTAGTGGATATGTGCCTCATGGCTTAGGATACCGATAATATTGCAGGATTTGGGACGTTCATGGACTTCCTTTACAAGAGGCGCGTGCTTATACACCGACGTATTCATCATGTTGAGTGGAATGTTGACGTCTTACTCGTTTTACAAACAGCTGGAGCGTAAGAAGCGACTTGATGTTCCCTGGGAGTATCTGTCGAGGCTAATGAGGTATCGGAACTCATTATGTGCTGCTGTTAAAAGCCATTATTACCCTGTAAATACATTTTGTCAAGATAATTTTCATCGTACCTAGTCGTCTGTTTGAAGCCGAAGCTCGTCTAAATAACTTTTAAAAATTCAGTCCTTACTGCAAAGAAAACACTTCTCTGATACACGGCGTCTCAAGTCATGTCTGACGGACTACAAAATGAAATTCTTTTAGAAGTGGATTTTAATTTCCTTTTTTTTAAAATTTAAATTTTGAAAGAAAAGTTGAGAGTGTGAAAGGAAAGCCGTGGACATCACAGGACTTTATAAAAAAAATTTCTTGTTATACGTGTATAACCATTTTTATTTTCACTTATCTTAAAGTTAGTTTATAAATTAAAAATAATGACTGGACGATCCAGCAGCGCAAAAACTGAATGTGTGTTTCTGTGTTGAATAAGATTGGTTCCAAATCTCGTGGCTCTAATCCTCTTCTGCACTTTCATCCTACCGTGGACTGGAACTGGTCCGCTGTGGAACCAAGTGGTGCAACACCATTCCGATATCTGCAAGAACACTTGGTGGCATAACTTCCTGTTTATTCACAACTATTTTGGTTTTGAGAGTATGGTAAGTCCGGTAATAATTTGAACTGTGCTGTCTTGCGAGACTCTCGGCTTTATTCTAACACTTCTAGTACATGCAGTGAAATGACTTGGCTCTTAAGAAGACATTATCGCTTAACTGCTGTCTCGTTACTGCAAATTAACTTGGGCTTAACATCCACCCCCCCCCCCCCACAAAAAAAAAATAATAGTGCAACAGGGAACCCCGAAGGTTTTGAAATACAAGCAACTTAAAATATTTTATACCATGTTTTTTTTTAAGTTATTTCGCTAAGATGACTTCCATTTTCCTTTATACAGTCTTGTACCCCGGAATGAAAATCCCCTTTTACGTTCTGTGTCAGGTTTGGCTATGCGCTACCCTAACTGAAGTCTTTCACGTTGTGTTTTTTCTCTTCGGATCTCTCCATGCAAATATCTTTAAATTTGCCGCAACCAGCTTCTTCCGAGGCCATTCTGATTACCGCTCATGATCATCTTCCAGTTTCACCTCTCATTTAATCTGCATATTGAAACAGCATCATCAAGTAACCCAAGAATCAGCGATGAGCACGATCTGGGATAACGGAACTTTAATGCAAAATGAATACTGAACCAATTTTGCCTTTGCCTGTTTTCTCCTTACAGTGTTTAACGCACACGCACCATCTGGGAATAGACACTCAGCTGTTTTTTCTGTCTCCGTTGTTTGTGTACGCTGCATGGAGGTGGCCACGAATTGGTTTTAGTGTTCTGGCAGGCGTAGCGTCCGTCTCCACAGCTCTGCGTTACGGCGTCACATATTCTAAACGTCTGTCATACTTCGTTATTTATGGAAGCTCGTGAGTATAAAATATTTCTTTTGCTTATTTACGTTTCTTGTTGTGTCCTCTTATCGCTGCTAGATTAAATTAATAAATATTATAGAAGGCACTAAATCACATTAACTTTTATTTAATTTTCAATAAAACGTACTGAAATTATAAAAATAAATTATATCTCTTTTCCTTAAACATTCATTGCCCTCCATGCCCCCTATATCCCTCTATAGCTTTGTGTCTAGGCAACAGGAACAACTTTTTCTAGTTGTTTAGCTGGTCATTAAATTTCCTGTTGTTCACACAAAATTCACAAAAGATTTTCATTGGACTCTCTCCGCATTTAGTCGAATCCAGTCCGCATCCTCACACTTTATCATTCTAAGATTAATTTTAATATTATCCTCATCTACTCTGCGATTTTCCAAGTGGTCTCCTCCCCTGATGTTTTTTGTCTAAGCAGAAATAGAATTTTAATCTTTTATAACTATTTCGACGATGTTGTTCATCTGGGTTTTAATGCCATGTAGACTCTTAGGTTTTAGATACCAGTCTTCAGCTCTGAAAATGGAGACAGTATGTTTCTCCAAAACATTGCTATCTATATGCAAGTCCGCATGGTATCAAACCCAGAAAAAAAAACACTGTCATCATCTCTGCTATGAGAACATAAAATCTCACGACTGACCTTTCATTTTCAGGACCAAACAGCTGTTTCAGTCAGCTGACCTCTCGTATACGCTGCCAGCACACCGAGCAACAGCGTATGTGATTGGCATTGCCCTGGGTTTTGGGCTTCGCTACTGCGGCAGAGACTATAGACTTAAGAAGGTACGGCTGGACCATTTTATATTTTTTAATTTACATTACCCTGTTATTGGAACATGCTTTAATGCGCACATCCTAGGTAGACATTAAAATGATTACGCAAGTGCTGTTAACATTTTTTTTGGTGCTGAAAATTAGATTTGGAAGTGAAAACTTACTGTGTGCGCAGATGCACTTCACATTGGGCTGGACCACTGCCGTTGTCTGCTTCTACATGGCAATAATCAGCCCAGCGCACATGGCGAGCCGCTACTATGTCTATAATCCGACAGAAGCTGCCAACTTCGCGGCTTTCGCGCCTATCTTCTGCTGTCTCTTCCTAGCCTGGATCATCTTCATGTCATATATTGGTCACGGAGGTATGTACTAAGGGGCGTGGTGTTAAGAAATAATTATGTGCTGCGACAGCGTGGCTTATGGTTCTAGGTTGAAAGAAATGAGCAAGAATCATATTGAACACTTTTGAATTTAGTTTTAAACCATAATGACCCACAAAGAAAAAGGGGGGGGGGGAAATGAATTATGGAATTTTAATGCTAGAGTGAAGAAATTTGCATTCCCTCAGACTTTTACGCTACGTATTTTTTCTAAGTTTCCGGAAGGCCGTGCTTTCTACTTTATATTTCATGTGGGAGCCTCACAACCTCCTTCGCGTTGCTTATATTTGACTTCACTCTCTTTAAAGGAAGTACTGCAGCTCTAAAAAAAGGGCACTTTTGTTCAACCCCGAACTGCCGTGGCCCGATTACATTCCACTGGGGCAATTGAACCCACACCGAAAGAATAAATTTCACTTTGAAGAAAGAATTTTCGCATTCAGAAAATGAAAATACATTTTACTTATGATGTAAAGATTTTCAAATATGCTACGTCCCAGATCACATCTTCATTTTGAGTATGTGGTTTTGCGAACAGTTTAAAAGATTTTGCGTATTTTATTCCACCCCCCCCACTGTTAGCTGCTCGTGCAGTTTTAGAGAAAAGTTATGAATTTGTTCCTTGTCATCGGTTATGGATTATGTTTCAGGAGATACGAAGAGAGTTGCTGACGCCCATTCTGAACAAAACTTCAATTCAATATCACGTGTTTAATAGAATTTTAGTTACTTGGAATACATGCAATTTCGCCATGTCTTCTACGTCATGCAGGTTTGCTGGGACGCGTGTTATCGTGGCGTGGATTTCTAGTGACAACGAGACTTTCTTATGCTTTCTACCTTGTCCAGTTCCCAATATTCTTCTACGGTGTCGGCAAAAATCGCGTTACCCAGTCGTACAGCGTGCTTCTATTGGTAAGTTCTGTAAACTGTTATCGTAAGTTACTTAATCTGCTTGTAGCGAAATGTGGAATCTGTAAATTGTTACGTTGTTATTTGTACATTTTTCTAATATGAAATGTTTATTTTTCTTGTCACTTCTGGCGTAGTTTAATCCCGTAACACGATTCGTGTAGATGCACTTAGCGGTTCAAAATATCAAATGTTGCGTGTAATAGAATCTTGCAGTTTTATTCAATTATTTTACTGTCATTTAATTAGTCTCGGGTCTGTTAAGGATTAAAATAGAATACGTAATTAATTTTTATTTCTGATTTATTCAAACTGTTTTTTTTATAGATAATTAGGATACTTGTACTTTTTAATCCACAGTTAATTTAATGTGTCATAATTTCTGGTTGCAGATTGATGTGCCAGAGATGATGGTGATTATTGCGGCATCTATACTCCTAACACTGTTGTTTGATCTCCCGTTCCAAAATATTAGAAAAATAATGCAAGAACTTAAAGCAGTTGAATAAGTGCATTCTGTCACTGACGATTTAGCAATGAATCAAAAGTTTTTGGGTATTTGAGATAAGAACTTTATTTTCCTCAGTAACGATATGATAACATTTTATTCTAGCATTAAAGGATGGAAACCATCCTCTTTCTGTTCTTTGAGGTGTTCTGAAGTTGGTAATGGAACCGATGTCTTCTTGGATTCCTATATTTACATTTGTGTGCTAAAACCACGCATGCCGAAACCTTTTATAAAGATCGTAGGATCTAAGAATGAACTTCTGAAGTAGAGATCAAAGTTATTTCTGCAGGTAATTGTGCCATATTTTACAGATACTCCTTTAAAGTTTTAAAAAGTAATTGCTTTACCCATGTATAATGGCTTAAGGTGTTGGGCTCATAAACCAGTTCACGTGTCCTTCGTTTGTAATCATCTTCTTTAACAGCAAAGTGACAGAATCTTTGTACTTCGTCTGTTAAGTGATCAGTCTTAGTCAAGTGATGCAGATGATGGGCTGCTTTCAGAAATCTTTCTACCTAGCTTTTCTGTGAATTAGCCCCCTGCAAGATTTGCTGAAGGGAGATTTTTAAAATGCTGATTACACAAATATGCGGAGAGTAAGATAAAACAGATTCTAAATGATGAATAAATAATAAAAAAAAGAGGAAACATTTTACAAGAAAACAGGAGAGGTCAATAATTCTGGAGTTTATACTCGTGAAGATGATCTGAGTGTGTGATAATTGTATGAAGTTTGTTTTCATTATCCCTGAAAGAACTAACACCTTCGTTTTAGGTTATATTAACTGATATGTTTGAAAAATGTGTTGGTACCATTGGACAGACCCGACTTGGAAGAATCTGCGAAGTTCATAGATCTTCTCCAAGCCCAGAGGTAACATTCTCTTGTTCCCGACTGCTACCTGCAGTTTAAATGGAAGTACATCTGTTCAATTGTATCTTTTTTTTAACTTTGATAAAAAAATTTGAGGTTATGTGAGGTTAGGATTGACATTACTGCTATTGTTTTATGAAGACTGTAATGTAATTGTTTGTCACATATTTTTAACACTGATTACATTATGCTATAAAATATTCATTATTGTTTTTATACGTATTTTTATCAATTTAAAGATTCAATAAAAGTACAAAAAAAAAGATCTAATAAAAATAGCAATGCCATCAAGTCACTTGAGGAACCAGTTGTGTTTTGTAGATTTATATTATTGTTACTACTTTAAATAATGAAATGTTTACATTGCATTGCATTGCATTGTAAGAAATTGTTGTACTGAATTTATTAACGACTTCAGCACACTGCCAACAATGGCAGGTGTTACACAAGTATTCATAGAGTGTGAATGTAAACTCATTTATTTTTCCAAGTGTAGATGCCCATATTATTGTTTGTTTTTCAGGTATGAAATTGCATTTAATATTTTACTATGTTCTTAAACCTGTAGTTTTGTAGCAGATCACGTAATTTGTGTGTGTCTTATTCTGCTAAACACTGCAGGAGGACATTTAGGCATTCTGTGTCCTGTTGCATCTAGCATAGAGAAACAGGAACAAAATAGCAAGTATCACTGAACTACGGCATTTTGTTATGTCCTTCGGACTTCTAATGTTTTTAGTAAATATTACATTTTAATAAAAAGAAAGAAATTTAAATAGCTACATTCAAGTTATTCTGCTGGGTTAACCAACATCTACTCTCTATGAGTGTGACCCCCCCCCAGAACTTAGATGTTTATATATTGAAAATTAATTCCCGTATTAGCCCTCTGAAATCGGTCAACGGCATTAAGGGAATTAACCCCCTTACAGAACTCTGTAGTTTAATACCACTAACTGTTCCTGTTTAAAATAACATTCACATTTGAATGTCCATCTCTTCCCTTTCTCTACCAAATGGCTGCCTTTCAAGAAATTTCACCACCAAAAATTTGTATTGGTCTCTTGTTTCATCTATCCAAGCTGATGTCAAACCTATCGTATCTTTTCCCATGAACCTGTGTCGACCGTGTGTTGCTACTTGTGCATAGTTATTTCATTATTATTTATTACAGTGGATTGAATCGGAGTGGCATGCAACTAGACCCTTGTTAAAAGTCAATTAATTTTGAGTTTCGTAGCATTCAAAATTCATGTGCAGCGTAATAGTTTTAATTTGCAAGGCAGAGACATCTGAATTAAATTAGGGAAATTACGTCAAATTTCGGACGCTGCTCGATTCTGTTTTGTTTCACATCCTTA